CAATTTGGGGGGGAAAAAATGGGGATATAACTATTCCAGTCCCTAATTTTGTATTTCTTTTCCAGCATGTCTGGAGCTCGTATCGTTGTTCACCTGGCACATGCTCTGAAGCCAGGCCAGAAAGGTGTTGCTTCAATTTGTAATGGTGGAGGAGGAGCTTCTGCCATCATGATTGAAAAGCTGTAAGTGTGTCATGGACCTTCACGGAATACTCTGTTAACTACACATGGGGCATCTTTTTTAACTTTAGCTTGAAAGGATTAGGCAGCTGATGTTTGACAATTAGTTTGCAATGATAAGGTCTGAAGTAATTGTAAAACTGTAGTTGAAAATGAATCAATAAATTAGATATGTATAGATTTGTAATGTGAAATATTAATTTATGGAAGATAATTGTGTGTAATAATCAGGGAAAGTAATTTTTGAATTTAAGGATAGATGTAATAAAAATTATTTTCTATAAGGTGAGCTTTATTAACCTTATTATTTATCCTGATATTAATTTCTGATTTGAAGAACTTGTTTATTCAAATATTTGCTGATGTACATGAGTTTTCTTTCTCACTTCTTATGAAAAAATACCTTGGCCCATATGTCATTGTTAAAAAGAAAATGTCTTTCCTCATTTATATAATGAGTGAGTGTTTGGATGACTGTGTGAAAAAGAGAGAGAGAGAGAGAGAGAGAGAGAGAGAGAGAGAGAGAGAGAGAGAGAGAGAGAGAGAGAGAGAGAGAGAGAGAGAGAGAGAGAGAGAGAGAGAGAGAGAGAGGGGCAGGCAGGCAGTAAGAGGGCCGACAGAATGGTTGCACAGCCATAATAAAAGCCATAGTGCCAGTGCCCTTCATTATTTAGTAATTTTATAATTTATAGAGCAGTGCTTACCAACCTTTTCATCTGCGAGGATCCCTTTCCTTTAGATTGATTTTGAAGAACATTTCTTAATAAGGTTTTATCAGCTGATCATAAATTCCTGAAATGTAAATGAATGCAATTACATAAGCGGTTGTGTGCATGTTTGTGTTATGATGTGTGCAAGTGTGCAATGGTGTGTGCATGTGTGTGTGTGTTGTGGTGTGTGTGTGTGTGTTGTGGTGTGTGTATGTGTGTTGTGGTGTGTGTATGTGTGTTGTGGTGTGTGTATGTGTGTTGTGGTGTGTGTATGTGTGTGTTGTGTGTATATGTGTGTTGTAGTGTGTGTATGTGTGTGTTGTGGTGTGTGTATGTGTGTGTTGTGGTGTGTGTATGTGTGTGTTGTGGTGTGTGTATGTGTGTTGTGATGTGTGTGTGTTGTGGTGTGCGTGTGTTGTGGTGTGTGTGTGTGTGTTGTGGTGTGTGTGTGTGTGTTGTGGTGTGTGTATGTGTGTGTGTGTGTGTGTGTTGTGGTGTGTGTATGTGTGTTGTGGTGTGTGTATGTGTGTTGTGGTGTGTGTATGTGTGTGTTGTGATGTGTGTGTGTGTGTTGTGGTGTGTGTGTGTGTGTGTGTTGTGGTGTGTGTATGTGTGTTGTGGTGTGTGTATGTGTGTGTTGTGGTGTGTGTATGTGTGTGTTGTGGTGTGTGTATGTGTGTGTTGTGGTGTGTGTATGTGTGTGTTGTGGTGTGTGTATGTGTGTGTTGTGATGTGTGTGTGTTGTGGTGTGTGTGTGTGTGTTGTGGTGTGTGTGTGTGTGTTGTGGTGTGTGTGTGTGTTGTGGTGTGTGTTGTGGTGTGTGTGTGTGTGTTGTGGTGTGTGTGTGTGTGTTGTGGTGTGTGTGTGTGTGTGTGTTGTGGTGTATGTATGTGTGTGTGTGTGTGTGTTGTGGTGTGTGTATGTGTGTGTGTGTGTTGTGGTGTGTGTATGTGTGTGTTGTGGTGTGTGTATGTGTGTGTTGTGGTGTGTGTATGTGTGTGTTGTGGTGTGTGTATGTGTGTGTTGTGGTGTGTGTATGTGTGTGTTGTGGTGTGTGTGTGTGTGTGTGTGTTGTGGTGTGTGTGTGTGTTGTGGTGTGTGTGTGTGTGGTGTGTGGTGTGGTGTGAGCATGTGTGTGTGTGTTGTGGTGTGAGCATGTGTGTGTGTGTGTTGTGGTGTGAGCATGTGTGTGTGTGCATTGTGGAGTGTGCATGTGTGTGTGTGTGCATTGTGGAGTGTGCATATGTGTGTGTGTGTTGTGGAGTGTGCATGTGTGTGTATGTGTGTTGTGGAGTGTGCATATGTGTGTGTGTGTGTGTGTGTGTGTTGTGGAGTATGCATATGTGTGTGTGTGGGTTGTGGAGTGTGCATATGTGTGTGTGTGTGTTGTGGTGTGAGCATATGTGTGTGTGTGTGTTGTGGTGTGAGCATGTGTGTGTGTTGTGGTGTGAGCGTATGTGTGTGTGTGTGTGTGTTGTGGAGTGTGCATATGTGTGTGTGTATGTTGTGGTGTGAGCATATGTGTGTGTGTGTGTGTGTGTTGTGGAGTGTGCATATGTGTGTGTGTATGTTGTGGTGTGAGCATATGTGTGAGTGTGTGTGTGTATTGTGGAGTGTGCATGTATGTGTGTGTGTGTGTTGTGGAGTGTGCATGTGTGTTGTGGAGTGTGCATATGTGTGTGTGTGTTGTGGAGTGTGCATATGTGTGTGTGTGTTGTGGTGTGAGCATATGTGTGTGTGTGTGTTGTGGAGTGTGCATGTGTGTTGTGGAGTGTGCATATGTGTGTGTGTGTGTGTGTGTTGTGGAGTGTGCATGTGTGTGTGTGTGTGTTGTGGAGTGTGCATATGTGTGTGTGTGTGTGTGTGTGTGTGTGTTGTGGAGTGTGCATATGTGTGTGTGTGTTGTGGAGTGTGCATATGTGTGTGTGTGTGTTGTGGTGTGAGCATATGTGTGTGTGTGTGTGTTGTGGTGTGAGCATGTGTGTGTGTTGTGGTGTGAGCATGTGTGTGTGTTGTGGTGTGAGCATGTGTGTGTGTTGTGGTGTGAGCATGTGTGTGTGTTGTGGTGTGAGCATATGTGTGTGTGTGTGTGTTGTGGAGTGTGCATATGTGTGTGTGTTGTGGAGTGTGCATATGTGTGTGTGTATGTTGTGGTGTGAGCATATGTGTGTGTGTGTGAGTGAGAGTGAGTTAGTGAGTGCATGTGCATAGGATTCAGTCGTAGTATGTTCAAAAGAGACTTGAACCCATGTTAAATCTCAAACAGGCACCATCCCAAAACCTCAAGTAAGCCAACTGTGACCCTCTTTACGAAGAACCCTTGTCCACTTTGTGAAGTTGCACTTGAGGTAAGTGAGCTTAAATGCAGTATATATATGTCACACAAATGAGACACACACACACACACACAAATGACACAGGCACGCACGCACACACACACACACACACTCACTCTCTCTCTCTCTCTCTCTCACTCACTCACAAAAGTACCCAATATATATGTATATGGTCATGTAGGTATCACACTTGCTCTTTTCCAAACTTTTCTTTGAATATTTCACCAAGGTGATAACGGTAGTAGCTCAGTACAGGAATTTTTCCTGAAGATTTGAAGCTCAAATTTAGACATTATTTTATCCTTACTGTATTTCAAGTAATAATTTATCCTTGCAGGTTTTAGAACCACTGAGAGACCAGTTTAAACTTGTTGAGGTGGATATAACTGCACCAGACAATGAAAAATGGTTTAATTTGTATAAGTATGAAATCCCAGTGTTTCACTTTGAAGGCCAGTTCTTGATGAAACACAGAGCAGATTTTAATTTGTTACATAAAAAAATTATTGAATTTCAAGAAAGTTAACTCTGGTTTAGGTATTCTTTTCTCATTAAGATTTTCTTTCTTTAGACTAAGTACTTGACAAAAATTTATCGCACATCATAACCTTGAACAGAAAATAATTATTTTTGTGTATAAATAAATAAATATATGTATATGTTACTTTGGGATTGCATAATAAGTTTAGGCATATATTAAAATATAATTTTGTCTGATAATCAACAAACACAAACTTGGTCAGGAAGTTCCTGTAGCACTGGAAATATTTACCTTAACAATTCTTATATTAGTTTGTAAAGATGTATAATTCATGAATAAATATCACCAAAGTGTTGTACAGTGTATTATTATCCATTGCAGAGTTATTCTGGTACTTTTATTAGAAAACTCCCCCCCAATCCCTTGCTCGTTGTTGTCGTGGGGGGGCTTAGGAGGTGGAGACTGGGACCCAATGATGGGGAACTCCCCAACCTTGGGACTCAGCCCTCGACTCAACTAATTATGCATGGTCTTTTTTTTTTCCCTTCCCACTTTTGTTTCTGTCTCTTCACCAAACCCTTCTGCTATCCACCTCCTAAGGTGTGAGAGCCGTGCTGAAAGGATGAAAGGCTGACTTTGTGCCAGTCCTGAACGGCCTGAGGGAGCCATGGGCACGGTATTCCCCTGATTTAGTATCTAGCCCTTACCCCTCAAGGGGACCCTGAGGGGTGGACTGTTTTTATCCCCAACATAACCAGGCTTACCATGGCCAGTAATGAAAATATATCCCCACTGTTAGGGGCAATGAGGCTTGCCCCTATATCAAATAGCCCCAAAGAAGTAAACCCACCCGATTCCCCGACCCCAGGCTCTCCTTTGACCACGGCTCCGAACACTGCAATAACTGCCCCTTCACCAATGCCTACTAGTACAGTAGCCAACAATCAACCCTCAAGGAACATTTCCACTCTCCCAGCATGCCCAACTTCAACACCTCTACCCCCACAACCTCCAACATCAAACACCCCATCCTCCCTTATTAATACCTTACAGCCTTATAGCCCACCTCTCCATAACACTACCTCCATCAACACTACTCCATCTTCGTCACGCCCTCGCCCTTCTACCACCCCTATCTCTAAAACAATCTTGAATACTCTCTTCAGTGCAGCCAAATGGGACCGATTTTTCGTGATCCCTCCCACAGCTCCCTACTCTGACAACACCCTTCTCTTCCAACAATGCCTCCAAAAACAAGTAGGTAAAGTATCTTTCCGTAGCCGACCCGACCGCTCCCGTCTTGTAACAGTAACATCCGAAAACCAAGCCATAGCACTAACAAAACTAACTGACCAATATGGTAACCCCATTTCTAGCAGAACCCCATCCAACCCTCAATACTTGCACCGGAACAGTCTCAATCTCACCAGCAAATTGCCCAATCTATGACAAAGATTGGTCAGATTGTGGAGAAGATCTACTTGCCTGTCTCACAGACTACGATGCAACATCAGTACAATGCTATTCCATCCCCCCCAGAGGTCATCGAAAGAAACCCACTAACATAGCCAAAATTACCTTCCGTAGACATGACCTTCCCTTTAATGTCTACATAGGAGGAGAATCCCTCCCTGTTCGTCCATACCAACCTCCTCCACGTCAGTGCCAAAATTGTTGGCGTCTAGGACACCCAGCCAAACACTGCCGTTCCACAGCCAGATGCCCATTATGTGCCCAACCTGGCCATACCCGATCTAACTGCTCTGCACAATCACACATGTGCCAACTGTGGCGGCCCCCATAATGTATTTTATAGGGGCTGTCCCACCTACAAATTTGAATCTGAGGTAGCAACTCTCAGATTCAAACTCGGACTCACACTGCGTGAAGCCAGACAGGAAGCACGTCGACGTGGATTCTCTCTTACTCCTTACTCCAGTAATACTGCTCATTCTAACACTTCTCCTAAACCCACCCCTCCTACATCTAACCCCCCCCACTAACCCCACCTACCTTCCCCAGTCAAACTCTTTTGCCATCCTAAATCCAGAAACTCCAATCTCTACTACAGATACTCCAATCACCACTACAACCCCAACACCTTCCCCTCTCCCTCCTCGCACTCCCCGTAACAGACAGAACAAACGTTCCACCCCCTCTTCCCCTACCACACAATCACCCCCACCATCCTTTGCCCGTACTCTTGAGACACCAGCCCTCTCTTCCCCCCCTCACAAGAAATCCTTTATCCCCCAAAACTCCCCAACCAACTCCACAGAAGAAACTATTGAAAATATTCAAGATTACTTAATGAAAACCGACACAACCTACAACTCCTGCTCCTTCCACACTCCAAGTAATTGCTGATATCCATCCTCCTCCTAACGATATCCCCCCTACACCCTACCCTCCTACCCCTCCCAACACAGCCCATCCCCCCTGACCCCAACCCTGCCCACATTAACTCTCCCACCATCCCCTCTATCCCTTCCACTCCCTCCTGGATACACACGTGAATCCCTTATGTCACAAGTATCCCCTTCCTCAGACCCTCCATCTCCTAATACCCCTCCTGATAGAACACCAACTCCCACACCTCTCCCATCTCAAACCTCTCAGTCCTTATCCCACCCTCTAGCTGCTTCCCCTTCAAATTCTCCAACACGTACTACAATCTACATCACTAAATCAACAAAAGTATAACTATCCTTCATTGGAATATTCGCGGTTTCCGCTCCCACAGACCTGACCATCATATCCTTTCCTCTTACAACCCATCTATTGTATGCCTTCAAGAAACCTTTCTTATGCATACCCTTTATCTAATATAACACCCGACCTTAACCCTTTCACTCACTAATTCCTTTGCCCAGCTTAGACAACTAATCACTAACTCAACCACCCTTCACTAACATTAACTGTAGTGCTACATGACCTTAGATGTCTAGCACATTTATCTTGCTTTTAACCATTAACCATTAACCATTATTAGAAAACTGTGGATATCTCCTCACAGATCTTGTAGTGTATGTGTAGGGCTTTGTCAAAATCAAAGCTGACTTTCTAATGTTGCATTTATTGCACATTTTTGGTGTTGGGCCATACAACAGATGCCTTGTTGGCTACAGATTTTATTGTTGCATAATTCTTACTTTGGTGTGTATGATCTAGCTGTGGCATTTAACCCAATGCCGACGGGCAAGACGTGTATGTACGTGCCATGCCCACTGTTACTTGTTTGTTTTTACACATAGATGGCTAAACTTGTACCAAGTCACCAATGAGCCAATTACGAGTACTGCCTGTCTTGCCCGTTTACCCTTTTCTTTAATATACAAAAATATTTTACGTTATCTTATTTTGCTGCTACTAATGTTTAGAACATTATAGTAATTATAATGTTTATAATAATAACACCATTGATATTCATAGCACTAGGGATTGTGGGTTAGGATTGGGATGATGCATCTGAAGCAGGAGGAAGAGGGTTAGGTACAGGGGAAGTAGTGATTAGAGTGTCTAGAATAGTGGAGGAGGTTGGGGTATTTGGATTTAGAATGGCAAAAGAACTTGACTGGGAGAGGGAAGGGGTAGAAGTGGGATGAAGAAGAGATGCTGGGGGAGATGTAGAAATATCTTGGGAAGAGTAGGGAGTGAGAGAGAAACCTAGTTGATGTGCTTCTTGTCTGGCTTTGCATAGAGGTCAAGTCTGAATCTGAGTTTCCACTTCAAATTCAAACTTGTAGGAAGGGCAGCCCCTATAAAATACATAATGGGAGCTGCCATAATTGGTACATGTATGACTGTGCAGAGCAGTTTGATTGATTATAACCAGGTTGGGTGCTTAAAGGGCATCAGGCTGTGAAACGGCAGAGTTTGGTCTAGGTGCCAACAATTCTAACACTGACTGGGGGAAGGTTGATATGTTTGGACAGGGAGGGATTCTCCACTAATGTAAACATGTTTATGGAAAGTAATCTTGGCAATATTGGTGGGGGACTTATGATAGCCTCTAGGGGGAATGGTGTAGCATTATCCTGATACTGCATCATAGTCCATGAGGTAGGTGAGTAAGTCTTCTCCACAATCTAACTAATTTTTGTTGTAGACAGGGCAGTTTGTTGTAAGTATTGAGGGTGGGATGAGGTTTAGCAGGAATGGGTTTGCAAGTGAAGTATGTATAAGTATTGAGGGTGGGATGAGGTTCAGCAAGAATGGGTTTGCAAGTGAAGCATGTCAGGGATGATAAGGTTTTAGCTTGGGTTTCAGATGTAACTGTGATGTGATGGGAGCGATTGGGGCAGCTGCGGAAACTTTGCCTACTTGTTTTTGGAGATGCTGCTGGAAGAGAAGTGTTGTCAGAGTAAGGAGCTGTGTGTGTGTGTGTGGTGAGGGGGGTCACACAAAAAAACTGGTCCCTTTTGGCTGGACTAAATAGAGTATTTAAGAGGTTTGTGGAGGTGGGAGTAGAAGGATGGGGGCGTGTGGAAGAGTATATTTTTGAGAGTGGTAGTTTTGCAGAGGTGGACAATAAAGTTGTAGAGTAGCAATAAGGGAGGATGGGGTAATTGATGAAGAAAGTTGTGGGAGTGGAGATGAAGTAGAGGATGTTGGGAGAGGAGGAATGTCTCCTGGAGGTTGAGTTTTGACCTGGGTAGATTATGTGATAGCATGCATTGAGGGGAAAGTAGTAGCAGTGTTTAGAGTCATGGTCAAAAGGGAGAGCCTGGAGTTGAGGAACTTAAAATTTGAATCAGTACTTATTTATTTACTGAAAATGTTCTGATGCATCAACTTCTAAGATCATTAGCAGCGTATTAAAAAAATAGTGATAGTACAAGGCTTGAGGGCAAAGCCCCCAGGTAGGGAAGTGCTCAATGACATAAAAGGCCATATGGTGCTATGGTAGAGTAGGAAAAAGGGTTAAGAATGAGTTAACAATTAGGGTAAAGTTATAGGTTGAACAGCACTAGAGGGTAGTGAAAAGGGTACAGAGGGGGAACTGATGGGGCATAAGGTAAAGGTGGTTAGAATGGGAAGGAGTGAAGAGAGTAAGGAGCATTATGATAAAGTATTGTGGCAAAAAGGGCAAAAATGAGTTTACCAATTAGGGTAAGTGGACAGAACAAGGGGATGAAAAAAGGAAAAGGGAAAAAGAAAAGACCGAGTAACATTAGTTGAGGCGAGTGTTGAGGACCAATATAGGGGTGATCCCCTACATTGGGCCTCAGTCCCTGTCTCCTAAGCCCCCCATGACGATAACGAACAAGGGATTAGGGGGTTTGAATCAGCAGGGCTATATGATGAGGGGGCAAGCCTTATTAGCCCTATTAATGGTATTAAGTCTTCATTAA